TTCACCTGTGTACATGTACAAAATGTGTTAGATTGGCTGCCTACTGACCATGGAATAAGCATTCACTTCTCAACAAAATATACTTCAATTTTTATTAATAATATATGGGGAAAAATCCACTTACCAGGAGTAAGTTAAAAGAACCTACTCCACATCTTAACCATCTATTATAGTGAAATCTAATGGTTCAGATCTACTCACTAATTCAAAGCATTGAATTTTCCTAGAATGGATGGTTAAGATGTGGAGTAGATTCTTTTAACTTACTCCTGGAGTAAGTGGATCTCCTCCCATGATACATAGTTGAAATTTAATTTCAAAGTTTACAAAAGATCCAAATTATCACAGTACATTAGTTTTCAATTTGAGATTTTCTTCTTTTTTGGGGCTTTATCCACAGGGAAAGTTACATTTACAGTCGCACTCAAATGCAAACACAAAGTGAAAAAAGTCAATGTTATGAGGTGTCCTACGCATAGTTCCACTTGTAACTGAAAACTCTCCCGATTCAGCACTATTAAGGATGCATCCAGTGTACCCTACGAAGTATATGGTATTGCTGTGAAGTCCTGCACAGTGTTCAGAATGAAGAGATTCACAATTGTAGTCAGCCACAAATAAAACATGGTTTCCCAAGCTATCCACCTTCACCAGCTGGGATGAAGTACACTTTTCTTGGACCTCCAAAATAACAAATCTAGGGGTTTGCCTCACAAGATGTGAAATGCCATAATGCCACTTCGCAACTAATAGTCTACATTCAAATTCCACCAAATAAACATTTAATGGATATTTTTCAATATCTGTCTGGGTAGAATTTATAGTACTAGGTAAGGAGAGTAGTACTAGTGATTCAGTCAAAATCGCAAAGCAATAGGAGAGGCCATGCAAGCAGAATCAAATCTCTTGGAGGAAATAAAAGTCAGGATTTTGGTCTTAGGAGGGAGTTCAATTCCAAATCTGGAGGAGGGATTCAAAATAAAGAGTTTAAGTGGAATATGAATGATCAACCATCCCATGGGGAAGGAATCATAAAAGGGCTTGAATGGTTTGTGAACATTATGAACTTTCTGGTTTGCATTGTTGAAAAGTCCAAAATTGTGAACTATCATCTTTGGGCAATAGCCATGGGGTCTCTGGGACCCAAATGTCGGACTTGTTGGCAGTACAAGATAGCCACAACTTGCACACACTGCCGAATCGAACTTGATATGTTATTGTAAAACATTTGCACAATAGAGCTCTATGATGTCCACCAGTAGCTTTGACCACTCTCAGATTTCGAATTTTTTTCTTATGATTCTCCATTTCCATTGTAAATAACAACACAAAAGTGTATAGAGATATAAATATTAAAGCAATTAAAGATGCAATGGGAAAATGACAAGGATAAACAATATAAAAGAAAAAGAAAAAACTTGCACTAGCTATTTCTCACGAAGATGATAAAATAATGTAGAGCACAAAGAATTCTTATACTCACACAAAGAACAAACAAGTTTAACAGAATCCTTATAGGATCTATAGTCTATTTAAATCTTGAGAAGTTTGGTTTGGTATCATCATATTATAATGATTGATTGCATGAGGATATACAATCATGTCTAAAAATGGCATGTAACTATTTTTATTTAATTAGTCGATTTTATAGCTGGATTCAGCTATGCATCCATATATGTTTAAAATGGTGTAATTATTTTATTTAATTAGTGTATTTTACTACTAGGTTAGATTCAATTCACATTAAAATAATTACATTATCTATCTATATGCATATATGTCTAAACTGACATGTAATTATTTTGATTAATTATTGGGTTCTGTTACTTGATTTCGTATTACAATAATTAATTATTGATATATATGTGAATATATGTATAAAATGGTATTTAAGTAGAAGTTTACTAGTGAATGGGTTGAAGCATTCCTGTTTGCTTTGAATGTGTACATGTATAAAGTTTTTTTATTTTTGTATATATATGCATGATGCAATGTAGTTAATAATAACAAATCTAAAATCCTTAAGAGAATAGCCTACTGCATCGATATGAACTATCCTAACTAGCAGTATACTAGCATCCAAAGCTCAGAACCAACCATGTAAACTATGACTCTTCAGTCTTCACTAAAGCCCTTTGTCCAGAAAATAGGAAATCAGAAGATGGTGATCCAAAACAGCCAAACCAAAGTTAACATACACAGAAAGGCACAAAAACTTGCAAGCTTGAGACAAAAAGGGGGAGAGAGGGCAGAATTTAGAGAAAAGAACAAAGAAACATGCCTGTTTAAAGAGAGTGGCTGTTCCAGATCCTTCCATGCCAAACAACAAAAGTTTCTGAACTCTACCATGCTCCAAATACTCAGGCACAGACCTTGTGGAATTGTTAGTTGCATTTTCTTCGACACCAGAAGGACTATTAGGTGGTACAGGCAATGAGAACAATGAACAAATCAAACGAGTGGACGCCTGCCTACCATAAACCAAACCAATATTGTATAAAAAACCAAATCAAGACAAATGCTTTCAAGCTCAAGATAAATAACAGGTAAATATTATTATCAGATAAGAGAGAACCTTTCCCCATATGTTCCCTTTAATATTATTTTGGCCTTCTTCCTCATATGATCCATCATCATAAACCCAGAAATGGGTATCTGGTGGACATTGTACATTTGCTAGCTGAAATCATAGTTAAATAAGTTACAAATCAATTCATGATAAAAACAACGCATTGCAAAAAGATAAACAAAAACACAATCGGCAGACTTCCATTGAAGTTAATTGTGTATAGATCAAATGTTATAACCTAAGAGACTAATGGTATATAATTGGATCAGTATCACATCTAGAGGAACAAGAAAGACAAGATTTACTTTACTTAATTGTTAAGATTATCTACAGTCATGTAAAAGAGGGGAGCAAAATGGTCCATGGGAAGGTTCTTGATGTCTTTCTTCCAAGACAAGTTTCATATAACAGTATAAGATCTTACATTGCATTGGAAAGAAAGCATCGTTGATTGTTTGTTCAAAGAAATTCCTTCATGGTTGTTAGAAATGGAAAGAAACCCTAAAGAATTAAAATAAAGCAGGAAAAAAAACTTAATTCAAGGTAAGACATTTCTAATACAAATTCTATATAACAACAACAAAAATTATGGACTATTATAAAACCATGAAGGAATTCATTAGACCAAATCAAAGGGATTCAGAAGAGCTGTATTTGGGACAGAAACTTGATAATCAAAAAAAGAAAACAGACATAAAAGAAATAAACAGCAGGAAAACAAACTTCCATACACATTCTAAGTAAATACAACAACCAACCATGAAGGAATTTCTTAGACAAAAATCGAAGGGATTCAGGCATTCTGCATCTATACTCATGATAAAAACTTGATTATCAACAAGTAGAAGCTCTCAATACATTTAACTGGATGAACAGAGTTCTTGACTTCTAGTGCTACTGGCAGTCACGCAGTAAGTGTTTGAAATATATGTCTAAACTTAAAGGGAAACACACCAAAATACTAATAATTATTATGCTAGTTTAGGATTAGATATAAATGATCTATTTCATTGACAATATGTTACTTTGCAAATATAGTATAGCTTATTTAATGCCTTTTACTTAAACATTGATAGTGTTTGGTAACAATTCGATTATAACAAGAAACATCCAGAACTTTTATGATTAAAAGCAGTAATTGTCGTACTATCGCTATAGGAGGACAACTAATTGCCTATAAATGCATTCAACAGTGAATATTTTCTACACAAACCCTTAGTTGTAACCGGAGCATAGAAAAAATTGCACACAGGAAAATAAACAAGTTGATACCAAGCCTTCTGGTATATTGAAATGTTTTACAGTTCGGTATGGAACTAAATCAAGGCAAAACGCATGGAGAAACATGATTACCTTCAACACTCTAAGCTCAACCTTTGTTATTTCACGGCCATTCATGTAAACTCGTGTATTCCCATTGCTTGCTTCCGTTTGAAGTTTCCCACCAATATTTAGCTTTGAACTTACTATCTTATCGGGCTTCTCACCCTCCTGAAACCCATCACTTCTAAATTAAGTATATAATATAAGAAAACAGTAAAAACAACCTAAAATCAGTAACTTAGAAACACAATTTGTACATTTTCAAATTTTCAATTACCTTGCCCCAAAGTCCAGAATCCTTATCATACCAATACCTCCCAGGCTTCAACTTCTGTGGAGGGATAGGACAACCAAGAATCTCAGCCAATTCTTCTTGCCGCAACTGCCTGCCATTGACAATGAGCTGCTCCGGCCGAAGCTGATTCGCGGCACACTCTTTTTCAGCTCTCATTATCTGTTTAATTTCCAAAGGACTACACACTCTAGACAACATTCTAGAACACTTCCCTAAGGTTGACCTCCTTGACTCATGTATTGGCATTCCAATGCAGCTCACACATTTTCTCCCCTCAGGCATTGACCCCATCGCCTTCAGCACACAGTTACTGCAATACCTTGAATCACAAACAAAACACGCTTCTTTCTCCTTCAACCTATTTCTATTCCCACACCTGCTACAAATCCACCTCTTCTTCGGCAAACGCACCGAAGTAAATGGTGATCCTACCGGCTCAGTCGCCACCGATTGCGACGAAAGGTAACCATCATAATCATGATCATCCTCCGAATCCTTCAGAGTACGAAAAGTCACAGTAGTAGGGCGCTTACCTTCCACCGCGCCATCGCTCCGTAGAGGAGCGGATTTCGGCATCGGCTCAACTGAATCCGAGAAATCAGCAGTTAATTCGCGTTCAGCTACTTCAACTGAGAAATCGGAGCGAACAACCTCGCCGCTCCGAGAATCGAACTGCGTCCTGGAAACCGAAGACGACCGTTGACTCTCGACCGGACTTCGCGGTTCCCGATTGAAACCGCCATTGCGGACTCGGATAAACCTAGAAAACCGATGATGAACCGGCATAACAACCGGAACCGCGACGGAAGATGCGTGATCGGAAGCGGAAGACGCAATCGATGGAGTTCGAAACGGACCGCCACCGGAAGCAATTTCTAGTGGATCAACCCTAGGGACATCGTAGGGTACCGGAGATCCAGCATACTCAACGGCGAAGGAATAATCGAGGTGCTCCTCGTCCGGTAACGGAGCTCCGGCGGGAAGCATGCGGCGGAGCATGTCCTGCCATTTTTTGTCTTCTTCGGTTGACTCCGATGCCATTCGAGAGTTTCTGTGATGTGTTTGGAAAGTGAAAAAGTGTGAGAAAATGAAAAATGAAAAGTGAAAATAGAAAGAATCAGAGAAAGTGAAAAGTGTGAGAAAATGAAATGTGAAAATAGAAAGAATCAGAGAAAGTGAAAAGGTTTTATCATCTTCTTTTGATTCTGAGCTGAGAAAGAGAAGAAGACAAAAATGGGGAATGAGTTTGTGAGTTGTGAAACTGAGTTGGGAGATGCTGCTGTAGTTGCTTAAAAGTAAACGGAGTCAGTTAACGGTGGAATATATCTGTCTGAAGTGACGGTGGTGATTCCATTATCTTAAACGTCATCGTTATTGCATTCATGTAAATGAGTTTTTATACTGCCACAAAAGTAGACTTTAGGTTTTGTGCACGCGAGGAAGGAGTCTTTTGGTGGAGTAGAGTTCGGCTTTTACCTTTCCAACTTCTAATTCGAATCACCTAACTAGTTTAGTTTTCTCTCCCACTTGAAGTCATATATAAGGATAGGGATAAGGATCTGGGTGAGAATATAATGCATTGGGTAGCATAAGGTTTCTCTTTACCATGTCTAAATGTAGGTGGAGTTATTTGTAAGAATTCCGACTCGACCATAGAGGTAAGGTTAATCTGACCATAAATAATGATCGGGTCAGCCTTTGAACCTGAAATTAACCCTAGATCCGTTTAAATGTAATACGTACCAGATAAAATATTTTTAATGTTACTTATTATTATTATGTATAACTAATTTGACATATAAAATGATATATATATATATATAGGAGGGATCCACTTACTCCAAAAAACACTTACTCTTCATCTTAGTCATCCAATCTTGAAAAATTCAATGGTTTAGATGTACTCACCAATTCAAACCATTGGATTTTCAAGAATGAATGGTCATGATGTGGAGTAAGTGTTTTTCCACTTACTCTTGGAGTAAGTGGATCCCTCCCCATATATATATATATATATTTTGTTAATCAATGATATTTTTTATTAAATATATATCATTTACTCTGTACACAATTGAATAGAGACACATATAAATATTACGAGTGAATGACTACATAACGGGTCGGGTCATGTTTGTCCCCTACCCGACCTTGAATATTAATCAGATTTAATTTTTGAACCTAACCCAACACTAGACCTAACCCTATTCAGACTCAATTATAATCAGGTCATGAGCAAGTAAGGTCGGGTTGTGTTGTTCGAGTATAACAATGGTTTTATAATATTCTTCTATAATCCTAACTTCCTTCATATATACCAAGGTAGGTAAGTGGAGTAATGTTAGGTACCACTAATACCAAATTGAATGAGGTTGAAAAATATTCTCAAACAGAATCAAGTAGTAGATTTTCCCTATTAGAAACAAAGCAGAATTAGGATAAGTAATTACATGCAGAATCAAAGAGTAGAGGGTGCAGAACAATAGAGTAGATTTTCCCTATAAATGGATGAAATACCACTTAATGAGGGGAAATCTACCACCAATTTGTTTAATCTGCATATTACATTAAGGATTTCTTTAGAAGTTGAGTTTAAGAGTAGAAAAAGAAAATATAGAGCAATCACATAAACATATATTATAACTTCCAAACCTTTCTTTTTCTTTCCACTTAAAAGTCAAGTGAGCAAACACACTAAAAAAATAAGCTTAAATTTGACCATGTAACCCCCAAGTAACTGGTTAGGCCATCTCTGACAATATGTTATGGATATATATTCAATAGGTTTCTATACATCTGTATAGTCGTTTTTAATACTGTTTCTTGTAGGTTTGAATCAACACCATAAGAGAAATATTCCAAGGATATTGTATGGGTACTTTCTTAAGCGAGTTGACCAAAAGGTTCCAAATATTGGAGAAGACAATGAAAATCCTTCCTAATGCATCAGTAGAGAATAGTTTTGGTCTCCCAATAACATGTTTTTGTTCACAACTCTCACATAACAACTAACAAGCTTTATCCATAAAAATAGAGACCCATAGCTCAGAATTTCAATTTTCTACTTGCATTTTATTCAGATTCATTACCTAGTTTTCTGCAAGAAAACATTATCATCTGCTTACAGAAGAAACGAAGACTATATTGGACCTTCAAGTTTGAAAATCTTTACATTGTGTACATAATTAATTAGTATATCAATCACTTCAGCGTAGAAAAAACTCAGTAGAATAACATATTACCTAACTTATATATTATATAAATGAAACAGAAAAAAATACCTCAGTTTTACATGGCTTCATGTTTTTTATCTACTTCACTAGAAGGATCTTAACATGAAATAGTAATAAGTAAAATAAGTGGTTCTTTTCGAATTTTTCTTTACACGATATTTTTTCTCAATATTCTACCTAACCTTATAATGTACCCCACCTAATGAGATTAAGGTTCGGTTGTTATTGCTATATACCTTATACTCTACTATTCACCCATTGAATTATGTCTCGTGCGATAGCATCTCGCTCGGGTTCAAAGAGTAGGTCATGTGAGAATCCTTCATATAATTTGATACTTTTGTTACATGAGGATGCTTGTTCATACAATTTTTTAGAAGCTTCAGGTTTAGTGATACAATCAGCAGTGCCATGCAGAACTAAAAATGGAACTCTCAATTTTCTGAAATTTTGCTGCAAGTAGCTTGTAATTTGAAGAATCTCATAGCCAGTACGTACTCTAAGATCACCAGTACATACTAGAGGGTCTGAATATTTAGCTATAAGAGCTTGTGGATCTCTAGAAACTGGTAAACCCTTCTTATATGCAGATCTCCATTGATATCTTGGTAGCAAAAATGAAATTATAGGAGCAAGTACCTGTAATAATGAAGAAATTATGGACATGAAGTATGGTTTAATTTTTTACTCATTGTTATGCATGCATGTGCAACCATGAGATGTTTTATATATTCGGTTAAACTATAGGTGATATTCATTTTCAGTTTGATCCTTATAAATAGTTTTTTTGGTTGTCAATTAGTCATTATATCTCTAGGAAGGGGTTTCACTTACTGCAATGGTAAGTTTTTTAAACTTACTTCACATTTTAGCCATCAATTCTAGGAAAATCTAATGATTTAGATCTACTCACTAATTCAAACCATTGGATTTCTCTAGAATTGATGACTAAGAGGTGGAGTAAGTTTCTTACTCTTGGAGTAGCTGGATCCCTCCTCATATCTTTATATGTATTATTATTTTTTATCCATCGGATCCACTTACTCCAATAGTAAATGGAAAAAATCTACTCTACATCTTAGTCATTCATTCTTGTAAAATCTAATGGTTTACATCCATTAACTAATTCAAACATTAGATTTTTCAAGAATGAATGATTATGATGTAGAGTAGAGTTTTTTCACTTATTCTTGAAGTACGTGAATCTTCCCCACCAAATATATATTTTAACACATTTATTCTGATGGATAATGAAGGTATCAACCCTTAGCAGGTATCTACTAGAATTAGAAAATTTGTACTTTTTTGCTACCACCAAGGGTATCTTTCAGTAGGTAAGGAACTAATGTCTTTTGAAGTGCATGATTGTCTCTCTCAATAAGTATAGCTTATAGGAATCGAATAATAATTGAACTTAGAAAATTTGTATGAAATAATAGCATTCTACTAACCAACAAAATTGGATGAGAAGGTTCAACTCCAACTGCAGGTGATGTGAATGCAGCACCAACTATTTTGGCTTCAAACTTTGGATCAAACAGTACCTACAATAATATAGCAGTGAAAAACTGAATCAATTTATTGTTCCTTAGGTTCTCAACCTTCTTTTCCCATACTTAAGCTTCATGAATCTAATTTTACTTTGTTTGATTAACCATACCTTTAGAGTAATGGCTGCACCTGTTGAGTGTCCAAAGCATAAACATGGAAGCCCAGGGTTTTCACTTAGAATTTTCTCAAGAAATACTTTCTGTTTATAAAACAATTGAAGATTCTTTATCAGAACAAGATAATTCATTCATACTTCAATAAACTCTCTCTCTTTAAGTCTTACTTCTAATAGACAAAGCATATATATCCTTAAGAGTTAAGACATAAGTAGTCACATGCAGCCCCTTTTGTTCATAAAATATTGTAGAATTTGTGTGTAGATCCTAGAACATACCATATCAGAAACAGCATCATCAAGACAATGAACATATCCATGCAATCCATCACTTCCACCATGGCCTAAGGAAGAAAAAAAGAAATTTCAGCATATACTGAAAATGGAGGAGACAAAAAGGAGTAGAACACAATCTACTGAAACTATAATAACCTTAGCACCAAGTTGCTATTTTTGGAACCTTAATATGCATTAACTCATGAAGAATAGGGAACTTACCATCCAAAGTGAAAAATTGACTAAGTAAATTTTAAGCACTTATTTGTCTTAATTTAAATTAAGATGTGTTATGTTTCTTTTCAAAACCAACTTACAATTAGACAGGGAGAGAAGTTCGACTCTAGCTCAGATAACATGTTAAGTTTTCATCTCAAAACCAATTGAAAGTTAGAGAACTAGTCCAACAGGTATTTAAACAATACCTGATAGAGTGACACAAACGATATAGGACTTAATTCTCAACACTTTAATCAAAGACAAAAAAAAAAAAAGATGAACACACAGTTTGGTATTCCTTCAAAATATCATACACATGCTTCATAAAATCACTAAACAAAGGGAGAGAACACTTATTTATGTAAGCTTCTGTGAATTAAAATACTACTCTTGAATTGATAATCTAAAAGACTTAAGGGCATAATCTATGAAATATGTGCCAAATCATGTATCTTGTTTTACCCATCTTAAAGATACAAACCAGATACAATACTCTTAGATAATAAGCTTACTCATAAACAGGAGCTTCACATTTTACTTTATGGCATCCAAATAACTTATCCCTGCAACATCCAAATATAGATGCATGTTGAAGAAATGTGATCACTAAACTACCAAATTAAAAAAAGAAAAAGATATTATCACTGTCTTTTACAATCCAATGAAAGTACCATATATACAAGGGGTGACAAAATATGTCAAAAGAAAATTTAGTCACAATTCCAAACTCACAAAACTAGGGCATAACTTAGGAAAAAACACCTATCAAATGGGGTCATATGGAATATCTAAATAAACTCATAAGGCATAGTAAATAGTAAATACCATTTAATAGTACCTAATTCATGCATGATCATAAATCATAATTTGGTTCTGACTTACCAACCCAATCCATCCCATAAACCTTGAAGCCATTGGCATTCAACTGCTTTGCAAAATCACTATATCTACCACTGTCAGAGAATAATGGATATGGCTTCAGAAAAGCATGGAATGGAATAATATTGAGAAATTATGCTAGTTTTTTTCCATCTAGAAATTTTATAAATTACAAACCTGTGTTCATTAAGTCCATGCATAAGAAGAATAATTCCCCTGCACAAAGTTGGTAATATAAAAAATGTTATTTCACAACCAACATATGCATTCTGCCATTAAATAATTTATTTATATATTAAAATATTGAATTTAAATTTTGAATTATTTAACCATCAAATGAAAAGAACATGTTATAGAAAAGATAATTTAATTGACAAAGTTGTGAG